CCTGTTTGTAACAGGCTGTCAGTGTTTGTCTGAAACACCTGTTAGCAGATGATTTTACTGTGAAAGGATTAAGTGGGTCTGGTGACTCACTGAGGTAGGGATCTCGTTACTGTACCTTTGAAGTGACTTTCTTGGGAGGGTGGGGTCTGAGCAGCACTGAGGGAAGACCTCTAAGAGCAGCTAAAGCTGATAGAAGGAGCAAGCTAATCTTATGGTATTTTATTGTTGCTTTCTTTGTTAATAAAGTCAAACATCAGAAGAAGAATGAATTTGGACTTTACAATGTGAGCTGAGCTCATAGCACAGATTTGGAAAGGTTCCTGTTTGCAGTTATTTGTTATGCTGTTTCTCTGATAGCATCTTGTAGGATTCTCTCTGCCCCTGCTCTGTCCCCTCAGAGTAGGGAGGTTAGCTTTTGAGTTGTGTTCACACCTTGGTTTTTCATTTTTTCTCTGAGGCACATGTTTTGATCTTATGTTGATCATTTTGAATTGAGATTTTTCCTCCTGGGAGCTTCACCTTCCACTCAGTCAAAGGGACAGACTGGGATATTCAGAAAGCAGCATTTATGCTCAGCAGAGGGCGCGGTTTGCAATACTGCCTTGCTATCATAGCCTGCAAAGGTCAAAAAACCTTAAGAACTAGGGAAGTTCTGCCAATCTCACACTAAGCCAGGAGTGAGAATCCTGCAAGATATCTTCTAAGAAGCAGAATTGCACAATAATTTTCTCTGTATGCTGTAGGTGATGTAATAAGAAAGACGTGGTTTGACCAGTGGCAAAGGTAGTTTTATGAAAAATTGATGCAATAATAAGAATAAATAAATAGTTAGCTTTCCTATAACACTTTTCATATGAGCATCTCAAAGCACTTTACAAAGATGGGTAAGTATCATTATATCCATTTTATACATGTTTTCTACTGGTAATTGTATTATCTGGTAGTGGTATTTCCCATAACAACTGTTCAACTCAAAATCAAAATTTCCTGCTTTTACATGGTTGCAGTGTACCATGTCACAGCGGGCCGTCCGTTTTTTTTAATCTTAAACTAACATTTGTGACTCATAAGTATTTCTGCATATTTGACCTAATGATAAAGAGAAATGTGCCACTAAACTATTGCTGGATTACCCTCCTAGATAATGTGCAGTCACGTTGATATTTGTGTCTTGTAAAATGAAGTTTGTGATTCGATAAGGTAGTACAAGAAATGCCAATTTTATTTTTCACTGAACGAGCATCTGACTGTGCACACCATGTAATTGTAGTTTGTAAGCCTTTATAGACAATACCCATTTTTCTAATGGAACATTAAGTGAAACATAGGAACACAACAGAGGGTCCTGTGGCACCTTTAAGACTAACAGAAGTATTGGGAGCATAAGCTTTCGTGGGTAAGAACCTCACTTCTTCAGATGCAAGTACTTGTCTGTTAGTCGTAAAGGTGCCACAGGACCCTCTGTTGCTTTTTACAGATTCAGACTAACACGGCTACCCCTCTGATAGGAACACAGTTATGCATAAAAAGCCATACATTTTTAAACTGAGTCAGCATAACCAAACAATGTTAATACAGTATCACATTCCTAGTTCTTTCATAGTTATAGATACAAAATTAATTTATTAATGGATATTTTTCAAGTGGCTTTTCCCATTTTATCTTGATTATACAAGATACATATATAGAATGATTGAAGAATGCAAGAATTGCACATCATGGAACATCTATTCCGCAGTATACACAGCATTTTTCCAGATAGTCTGAGCTAATAGAGATGAATGTTTGCCAGGCAGTGCATTGGATTTTGAGATGTGAAGAGAGAAATAAATTCTTTAACTTGTAGAAAACAAAAGGTTTGAATTTTTGTTTTCTGCCAATGCTGGTGGAAGTTAAAACAACTTGCTGCTATTATATCGATCCTATCCAAACAAAATTATTTATATTGTGACAAAGCTAAGTACCTTCTTCCCATGCACCATTTTCCACAATGACTGTCCTTGACCACCACCAGAAAATGAATTTGATTTCTCTAATGCAAAAGGTAATTGGATTTTTCTTTATTGAATGCATCCCTTTAATGACTGTCTTTGCTTCTGCCAATTTAGCTGCAAGTGACCTGACATTGATCTGATGATAAGACTTAAAATAAATGCTGGAGCTAAAAGATGAAAAAGACCAGCTGTCTGATATCAGAATGAACATCTCCTGCCTCATCTTGCCATTTTCCTCAGCAAATGTCATTTACTTGAATGCCATTCTTATAAAACACGCTGCTGTAATAACTGGTCACACAGCTGCAGATTGCTTCCTTCTAGCAAATATAATAAGTATTTCCCAGAAAGTACTCTGGAGAAAACATTTTGAAAATTGAATAAAACCCACCCGGTAATCATCTGTTTCCTTGCAAATATTTTTTACTGTACAGAATCTTCCTGGATCTGGAAAAGTATTGCTGAATGAAATTAAGTAAATCTTTAGAGGGGCCTTGTCAAGGCTGTATCCCCACTTTGAACTTTAGGGTTCAAATGTAGGGGCCTGCATGAAAACTTCTAAGCTTATCTACCAGCTTAGCTTTGGTCCGCTGCCACCATCACAAGAATTCCCTCCCTGGGAAGCCTTGAGAAACCTTTCACCAATTCCCTGGTGAACACAGATCCAAACCCCCTTGGATCTTAAAACAAGGAGAAATTAACCATCCCCCCTCCTTCCTCCCCCCCTCCTTTCACCAACTCCTGGTGAATACAGATCCAAACCCCCTTGGATCTTAAAACAAGGAGAAATCAATCTGGTTCTTAAAAAAGAAGGCTTTTAATTAAAGAAAAAGGTAAAAATCATCTCTGTAAAATCAGTATGGAAAATACTTTACAGGGTAATCAAACTTAAAGAGCTCAGAGGACCCCCCTCTGTCTTAGGTTCAAAGTACAGCAAACAAAGATACACACTCTGGTAAAAAAGGTACATTTACAAGTTGAGAAAACAAAGTAAATCTAAGACGCCTTGCCTGTCTTTTACTTACTAGTTTGAAATAGGAGAGACTTGTTTAGAAAGATGGGGAGAACCTGGATTGATGTCTGGTCCCTCTCAGTCCCAAGAGCGAACCACCCCTTAAAACAAAGAGCACACACAAAAGCCTTTCCCCCCCCCCAAGATTTGAAAGTATCTTGCCCCCTTATTGGTCCTTCGGGTCAGGTGTCAGCCAGGTTACCCGAGCCTCTTAACCCTTTACAGGTAAAAGGATTTGGAGTCTCTGTACACAGAGAGCTGTTACCCTTCCCTTTATAGTTATGACAGGCCTTTTAAGCATTAAATATGTATCCAAATATTTATTTAGTTAACCTTGGTGGTCTTATTAAGATAAAAACTATCATAACATGGATGATTGGAGAAAGGAATTACCAAAGGAAAACCATTGGAAATGGTAGTATTTCAGGATACAATCGATTCTTCAAGCTAAGAATGATAGAATCCTGGAGTACATATTTGTTTATATACCATATATGCTTAAAGTTTTCATCATCATTTAGGACCCAGTTCTGCAATGTGTTGAACACCTTCACCCCCTGAGGTCTGAGAACCCTAAAGTTGAGAGATGAATTTGATTCGTATGTGGCTTTGATTTAAACCAGGCATCGGCAATCTTTGGCATGCGGCCCGTCAGGGAAATCCGCTGGTGGGCAGGGACGGTTTGTTCACCTGCAGCGTCTGCAGGTTCGGCCGATCGCAACTCCCACTGTCCGCGGTTCGCCGTTCCAGGCCAATGGGGGCTGCGAGAAGCGGTGAATGCCAAAGGTTGCCGATCCCTGATTTAAACATAGGATTTGTGTTCCCTTTGATAAACACTATAAAATGTCTTTGAATGAAAATACTAATTCACATGCTAGCTGATTAAATTAGAAAACCCAAACCAAAACAACTCCATGCTTCAAAATAAACCAGGAAGAAAATACAAATAGAAAATTCTCCCTAAAACGGGGTTCTATTTGGAAGTGAGTAAAACTAGGGGGTTTTCTGTTGAAATCTCTTTAGGAGTTACTTTTATATTTATTAAAGCAATTAATAGTTTAAACAGTGTAGTGATGCTAGTGGCAGATAAACATTTGTTTTACTGCATTTCACAGCAAGTACTGTATCCTGAATTTTTTTTTTAAAACTTGTGTATGTTTTCCCCACCACTGGGTTTTCTAAATAGCATGGTGGATGGAATTACTATACTGTATTTTTCAATATTTTATAAGTGTTAATCTGAAAAAAAGGATATGGATTTTTAACACGCCCAAAGATCATGGATATCCAAATCCATTGCGTTAGTTCAGGCCCATTTCTAATTCTTTTTGTAAATCATCCAAAAGTAGTATGTGTGTATGGGTCTCCAGGCAGAGTTTGACAGATGGTCCGTTTAAATACGAGTACTGAAAATTAGAATAAGCATTTCAATTTTTAAATATCATGTAAGAGAACAGCACAGGTTTTAGGGTCATATATGGTCTTTACTCTGTGTGTACATTTCTCTTTGGCATCTGGGATCGAGAGCAGATCGAGGGTAGCATATGGCCCTTACTGCACAAGCTTCCCTGGCTTCAGCACCCTGGACTGCAATTCAGATTTCATAGCCAAAATTCTCCTGATACTATGCTCATAGAACTTGGACTTACCTTCCCAGCTGGACTGGAACTGTACTGTTTGCCTTCTTCATATGGCTATGAAGAAAGTAACCTACATCCATTTTTTCCTAGATCTTCATGAGTAACTTGCTCATTTAGATTAGCACATCTCTCAGGAAGGTGTACAAACCAGTTCTAGAAGGCAGACCAGAGTTCATGTAGGTTTTGAATAAGAGAACTGCAGATAATATCTTTGTTCAGATTTTCAGTTTAGCTGTCGTTACAAATGTTGATTAGAATGATCTGAAATGAAAAACCTTTTGTAATCTAAAAATTTGTGTTTTTAAACTTTGTGACTCTGATTTAAACCTAAATGATTTCCTTCTTCCTCCATAGGTCACTGATATGATGCTTCAGGACAAGCCCTACCCTGACTGGGGGAAGTCTGCCAGAGCTTTCTGGAAGAAAGGGAATATTAGGATCATTTTATTCTGGTAGGAAAACAGTAAAATCCAATTATTGAAGTGAGCCTTGAATAGACATCCAAACCTCTGCCAAAGTACCCTCTAACGCTCTACGTCAGTGAAGAACTTTGAAGTGAATACATGATAAGAATAAAACTGGTAAAGGATTTAAGCTATATTTTCTAACAAATATCATACAATATTTGTCAGCCTGTTAAAACAATTTTTATGTGAATAAAAAAGCTTTATGGCAATTTAAATCAATGCTGCATATGCATGAAGACCCTCTAATAAGAATATATGACATATGAGCCAAATTTTAAAATTGCCTCAACCTGGCTTCCATTTTTTGTCCAGGCAGTTGTGGGCACAAAAGTGTAGGATCAAAATTACTGGCACATATGATAACATTAAGATGTCTAATTACCTGTTTGTCCCTGTATATAAGTTAACTAGACATCTAAATGCCCTCTCATGTGCTTGCAGTTAAATGTGGCAACATTTTGTATTCACAATTGAATGTGAACACAAAAATAGATTGGGCCCATAGCATATGGTCAAAGACATAAAAAGGATAATACATTCTTCAGATATAGGAAGCCTATGAGAATATCAGTGAGTGTTATTCTAGCAAAGGATAAAGGGAGAAATTCAGGAGGTTATGTTGTAGAGAAGCTAAATGATTTCTTTGCATCAGTCCTCACCAGAGAGGATACTGGGATACTTACTTTTTTTCCAGGTAATAAAGACATGATACCGTAAGAAATGGGGGTGTCAAAAAGAGGAGACACCCAGGAGTTCTGGAGTAACTTAAGAATGAAGGGGCCAAGCTAACAAAAATATGCAGCTCTCATTAAAATCAAGTATACTGGAGGACTGAGAGTTAATAAATCTTGTACCTGTTTTGTTTCGTTTTTAAAGTGATGGAATGATTCTGGCAATGACCAACCACTGACAGTTCAGTACCAGGTAATCTGATTGAAATGATAATTAAGAATAAAATATATAAAAAAAAATCCTTAGACTAACATATGATAAAAGAAACCAGCATAGCTTTTCTAAAGGAAAATAATCCTTCTCTGATCTATAAGAACTCTTTTGAGCATGTCAGGAAAATAGTAGATGAAGGAGAACTGGTGGATCTAATGTATTTGGATTTTTTTCAAAAGGCCTTTGACAAAGTTCCTCACACGAGACAATTAAGAAAACTAATAAGTCATGGAGGGAGAGATAAAGCAGTTTAGAAATTGGCTAAGAAATAGATAACAGAAAGAATAAAATAGTCTTTTTTTGCCATGTTGCAAACTAAAAATGCAGTGCCCCAAAATTCTGAACTAGGATTAGTATTTAACCATGACCTGGAGGAAGGATTGCACAGTAATGTGGCAAAAATTGCAGATGACATAAAATCATTTAGGCTTGTCAAGACTAGAGCAGACTATGTGGGATGTAAGAATGCTAGGCGAATGGGCAGCAGAATTGCAGATGAAATTGATTGTTCACAAATGCAAGGTAATGTATATTGGAAGCAATAATGAGATATATATATTACTGACCCTGAAATCAGCTATGTTCAGGGGGAAACAGTAAACCCTGGCATCATTGTGGACAGCACAATGAAAACCTCTGTTTCAGAGGTGGGAGTGGTCAAAAAGGCAAACACAATGCTAAAATACATATCTAGCAGGATAGAAAAGATCAAGTCATGACATAAATTAATGGTATGCCTTCATCTGGAATACAGTACTAAATTCTGGTCAATCTGCCTCATAAAATAGAGAGCTTCTGGTGAAGTGACTAGTTAGTCATGAAGAGGCTTTCATTTGAAAAAAGATTGAAAATACTGAGACTAATTAGGGGACAAGTAAGAATTGCCATGGTAAAGATATTTTATTTTCGAGAGAGAACATTGCAAGACACAGAGCGCAATCAAACACTATAAAAAAAAACCCATCAGTGTCCTTACAAAAGATGTTCTGAATTTTTTACAGGCCAAAATTGTATAAAGCCATATTTGCTTTCGCATAACAGTCACACTAAAATTGCCACAAAAAGTTGAAAATAGAAATGGATTAAGTAAAAAGTTTCTTTCCATGAATATGTTTAAAATAAAGAGTGTTTTTAATGAGGACTTAGAAGCACAAAGGGCAACATAAACTCTTTTATTTATAGCTATCGGCAATGAAATAAAATCACCTTAGGCAAGACTCCATATTAAATAGAGACATTATTTATATAGTGTGTGTCAGACATACAGTAACAGTAGACGTGTGTTTTTTCTTATGAGGAGGAGAAAGGGAGAGGGAAGGCTAACTAAAATTATGGGTGGTAATATAAAGTATTAGTCTTTCTTTCTTTGCTCTGTTTAGCGACTTGTGACATAAATGGGTGCATTTTGGTAAGCTGTCCGAAAGGAACATCCTAAGTAGAAAATGCCACAGAAATATAGATGTAGTAGAATCTGCTTAATTAGTATCTTCTAAATGGCACATCTGCTTAATTGGGATAAGTGTCAGTTCAATGTGCTATAGTTTAGTTACTCAAAATAAGGGATAAATCACAAAGATGGCAACATTTTAAATATGTCAGAAACCTAGGACTGAACACAAAATAAGTGTGCTATTCAATACCTAATGTACATGTGCAATTACAAAAATAGTGCAAACAAACTGGATATTTGAACAGGCAAATCGCTGATAAGGGTCAAATCCTTCAAGGTGCCCCTTCATGGGCATCCTTTATGCATATTCACTATGATATAGTCCATAGTGACATGATCACATACTGTTTTTTCCACAGGTCCCTTGTCTCATTCAGTGCATAGAATGGACACACAAGGGGAAAAAATTAAGTTCTCGCAGGCAATTGTAAAACTGGCATTTCCTAACATTCGTGTGCCTGACTTTGGAACCTATTTAACTTCCTTATATTTTTTGCATGTCATATCTATCTAATTTTCTTTACATTTCAGCATTTTGTTTTTTTAAACTAGATGTCATCTTTATTTGATTCAACAAGTTAGGAATATAGTTCAAAAAGAGTCAAAAATGGTATGGCTTATTCAAAGGAATTGATCAAAAATTACTCAGTTACTACAGGAGACTATCTATTTTATGTTTAAAAAAGACTATGTTAAACATGGTTCATTGTGGGATTTCTTACTATGTAAATGTAGGCGTTTCCATCTGAGATTGATAGCCCTGTCTCCAGAATGGAAATTAAACATGGGCTTTTTAAATGGTTTTTCTGTGATGCACCTAATTGAGGCTTTGACCTGATCAGCTGTATTTCAATACTTCTTGCTTTGCATTAGTCACAATAATAAATGCATTACTGGAGCATTACGTTGCTTTTACAGATTTGAAAGCAGTTCTTGTATTTGTTTCAAAAGACAGCTTATTAAAATTAGTTATTTTCATTGTGCTCCGCATTTAAAAGAACTAAGTAGATTTCATACGTTTGTCAGCCTAAATTAAATGCTGTCCCAGACAAAACAACCCTTTCATTAAAGTTAAGATTTCTAGATTGCATATCACACAAGTGTAAACCAATACAAAGCAAGGAAACCTACTTATTCACTTCCCCTCCCCCCCATTTACTTCACTCATTAACTCTTTTTTTCATTCTAAATCAGTTGTTTTCAGTCAGGGGTACGTGTACCCCTGGGGGTAGGCAGAAGGTACTGCAACTCATCTAGATATTTGTCTAGTTTTACAACAGGCTACATAAAAAGCACTAGCGAAGTCAGTACAAACTAAAATTTCATACAGACAATGACTTGTTTATACTGCTCTATATACTATGCACTGAAATGTAATTTCAATATTTATATTCCAATCGACTGATTTTATAACAATATAGTAAAAATAAGAAAGTAAGCAAATTTTCAGTAATAGTGTTCTGTGACACTTTTGTATTTTTATGTCTGATTTTGTAAGCAAGTAGTTTTTATGTGAGGTGTAACTTGGGGGTACACAAGACAAATCTGGCTCCTGAAAGGGGTACAGACGTTCCCCAACTTACGCAAGCGTTCTGCATAAACATTTGAAACGTTATATGACTCCCAGTTGAACAGAAGGAAGTAATTCCAAAACATACATAAGGCCAATGGAAAAAAATGTTTACTCATATACTCTGGGGCCTGATTCTGCATATTTTACTTGTACTGAGAAACACTAACTCACAAAAGTTGTTCAATTGACATTAATGAGATTATTCGTGTCAGTATGTGTAACACAATGTTAGGGTTGCAGAATAGGGTCCCTGTTGACATACTGGGCCAGGTTCTTAGCTGGTGTTAATGAGTGTAACTCCATTTACTTCAGTGGTGCTATACCATTTAAACCAGCTAAAAATATTTTTGGAACGGGGTTGACACAAATTACTTATGCCTAGGGTTGCCAACTTTCTACTCACACAAAACCGAACACCCTTGCCCCACCCCCTAACCCTCCTCTGAGGCCCCACCCATTCTCCAAGGCCCCACCCCCTGCTCACTCCATCCCCGCCCTCTGTTGCTCGCTCTCCCCACCCTCACTCACTCATTTTCATGGGCTGGCTCAGGGAGTTGGGGTGCTGGAGGGGGTGAGGGGGTGCAGGCTCCAGGTGCCACTTTCCTCAAGCAGCTCCCAGAAGCAGCAGCATGTCCCCCCCTCCGGCTCCTATGTGGAGGCGAGGCCAGGCAGCTCTCCACGCTGCCCTGTCCACAGGTGCCGCCCCCACAGGTCCCATTGGCCACAGTTCCTGGCCAATTGGAGCTACGGAGCTGGTGCTTGGGGTGGGGGCAGTGCATGGAGCCCCCTGGCTGTGCCTATGCTTAGGAGACGGAGCGGAAACATGCCGCTGCTTCTAGGAGCCATGCGGAGCCATGGCAGGCCTGTGCCACCAACCAGACTTTTAACAGCCCAGTCAGTGGTGTTGACCAGAGCCACCAGGGTCCCTTTTCGACTGAGTGTTCTGGTCAAAAGTCGGACACCTGGCAACCCTACTTATGCCAGCCTGAGAAGTTTAATTAGCCAGAATACCAAACA